TACTGTTGTCTTGTAGTTCATGAATCACTGATTAAAATACCATGGATGTCAGATATCGTAGTTCAGAACTTTTAACAGTATACCACACCAAAGTTATGAAGCAATAATATAGCATCCTTCAATGGCTTATAAGAACCACAAGTTATAGTTTTATGGATAGATACTTCTAGAATATCTATTTCTTTATAGGTGATTCTCACATCTTCATCAGGAATATAAATCATATCAATTATTATATTCCTAATGACAGTGTGAGAACCACAGAAAAACATTGAAAGTAATGAATATTCTAGAAGTATCTATCTATAAATTTGTTTCAATGTAGTTATAAAATCATTAATGACAAAATTGAGAACCTATTGGTTACTCAGACAGATCCCAACGTAATAATATAAAGTCATGATACACTAATTTGTTAATACTTACCACCTTCCACTATACTTCTAAATTTAACATCACAAAAATCACCAATACCATGTACAATAAATACAAGATGATCTACTTGATTTGTTTCACCTGTATTAATAAAACAAAAATAAAGAAATTTAAAGATGGGTTCCCTTATTTTCATATATGAAAATGCTAACACTTATATGAACAGAAAGTAGAGGTGTTCTAATGACTTTGAAAAATACAAGTTTGTCTCACATGTCAACAATTACTTCATAATAAGCTAAATTAGAAGAGAATTACTAGCAGAATTCCAATGAGTGACCGATCAAGAAAGATCAAAAAGTCATTTTTTGTTTATCCAGACTGTATATACATGGACATTTATGATTGGTTAAAACCCTTAATTATATGCAATAAGAACATAATGATATGATTAAGAATACATGATAATTCATTAGAAACACCAATTAATCAAATAGTTAGCTTAATTTGACACTAAAAATAAGGAAATCCATCTTGAATGAAGAAATGATAATGATTAAATTGGTTTAAGTGGTAATGATCACAATATATGTGCGATACATATGAGTATAATCAGAATTACAAAAACCTCACAAAGCTTTCAGTATGAAAAAGACCCTACATACCATCATCAAGATTCAAAATCTTCTACACCTCTCTTTACTACTTTAGGTCTCATCTGATCTCCCTGAAATCATATTATAACTACCTATTATTTAGGTCATCATCATACTATTTAATGGTCATAAAAAATATACTTAATTGTAACATTAGAGCCTGTAGGCAAGGTATTTATGTTCATGAGTTAGCTATTTGTATGTTAATAGCAAAAAATCTATTTTTTATTTACATGTTATAATTTTGTTTAAATTCATCAAATTTGGTTATAATTCTTGATTTTGTAAATTTTTGTAAAACAAATTCAAGCTAAAGAGGCAATCATTTGATCAATAATCATGCAGAAAGAACTACAAAAAGTGATAGGAAAAAAAATGAGATCTTGCAGACAATAATCACTTTAAAAATACAATAAATCAACTATTCTAACATTTTAATTTTTTAGATTTTACACGATACATATAAGGCCTAATACATCACATTATTAGCTATGTGGACTCTCTGAAAGGGTTACTGAGTTGTCAAATATAAAGTGGCATCAGGTGTTCTGGAAGAGAAGCATTATCTGTCTTGCTCACAGTGACACCATAATAAATCCATTCCCCTAGATCAAATGGCATTTTATCTCATTTTTAACTTGGATTGCCTTATCAATAAAGTTTTTGGACTTTTGGATTACTATAGATATGAATGGACCTTTTTTTTTAAAAAAAATTTGATAAGGGTAAATCGTTTAGTAGAACAGAAAATTATTGTTAGATGGCATTATTAGACATCTTTAACATGTTAAGAGAATTTTTACAGCTTTTTTGTATAAAACCAAATAATCAGTTGATTAACAAAACAACAGTGGCATATTACTATACTGTGTAGCACGGTGCCACAATGGTATCTTGTCTCGATCTGTTGGCTTATTAGTCACAATTTTGTGAAATCCTTTCATATAGCTTGCTTTAAATATTCCACATGATCAGATCCCAAATATGACTAGATAATGGTATGCATACAGAAATAGTTAAAAGAGTCAACTTATTATCATAAATATGATGTTAATATTTCGTTATTTTTTCTTTTTCCATTGTATGAAAAAAGGCTGAAGAAATGTAAGGGAGATCTTACGCAGAAGAAAATGTATTTGTTATACACAAGGTCCAAAATTAAGAAGTTATCAATGAAATGAATCATAAGTCAAGTTACATGCAGCTACATGTGAAATCCTACTAGCTATTGGTTAAATGGTTAAAACCAGTATGACACTACTACTTTGCATTCTTCTCCAAAATTAGTTATACAAGTAGTGAAATGTACTAGAATAAGAGCAAGCAGAATGACAAAAGATGAAGAAAAACAGTTTTTAATGAAGTACTACAAAAAAGACAGAAGCCAATTGCCATTTTGTTTTAACTCACCCCACCAGGTAAGGGGAAAGCACTCTAAAAATGTAATGAAATCAATGTAAATGGGGCGTAATAAAAGAATTTAAGGCATATAACCTTTGTAGGCATGACTTCCCGGTCTATCTCTAGGTTTATTTTGTTGTAAGTGCACCATGTTAATTCGAGCTTATAACAAAGGGCTGTTGATAGTAGATTCAAATCAGTCAAATTCATATGAGTTTTGCTAGAATCATATTCTTCTTACTGACTTTCAGTCCTGAACTTTGAACTCTAGTCTTGTCTGGGGTTTCTTGGGGAAACAGTAACCATAATTTTTTGCTTTATCAGTTGAATTCAAGCTACCTGTATCACTTTTTATCTTTTATTTCAGTAATGATGTCATGATTGATAATGTTTAATGCTTTGGATACTAATAAAACAGTCTGGAAAACTTATTCTTAAATCTGACTTAGGTTGAAATTAGGTTTTATCACAGAAAATATTTTGTTGACTATATCTTTAAGCACAAATCCTCATAACCTACAACAGTGCAGCTTTATATTTTACAGAACAGAAGGTGACACAGAACTTAAGTGAACAGAAGAGAGTAATGGTGCTCAAACAGATAACCAGCTGGTTATAGAATTTACAATTAACAGATATAAATCCAGAAAAATATTGAAATGCTATGTAAAGATATGCTCTTTATTGTATTAGTTATTTTCATTCAGACCAAGGTTAAAACTATGAATATTTTGGCTTGAAATAAATATGGAAAAAACTGTTGAATTCTGCTGTGATTTTGTTGTAAAAGTATTCCATTTTTGGAGAAAGTTCCATATCCAGAGAATTTGAAACAAGTAATTAGTTAATGTCTGCTGAAAAGTCATATTTCTTAAACCCATGATCAAACTTGCCAAATATTTTGGAATCAATATTGTAAAGGATTATTATTCAAATCACTTACATTGGTGCATCTTCTCAAAATGAAGACACTGTCTTTTAGTTACAACCTTAAGTGGCCATTACACCAAAGCGCTCACCAAATGCGTATGGTTGCAAATAAGAATAGCAGTCATAAGTTTCGAACGTAACTCTCGTACATCTGAGTTGAGAGTTGTATTCGCAACTCATGACCTCTTTCGTTATTCGCAACCATACGTATCTGGTAAAAGCTATGGTACGAGGGGTCTTAAAATAGGTTTATTGATTTGAAAATATTTGAAAAAAGGATATCTTAACAGGCAATTTTGAAAAACAGTTTGAGCACCAGAAAACGATAGATAATATAGAATATATAATACAAGCTGGCAAGCTGAATTGGAAAATTCTTACTAAATGTCCCTGCTTTGAGGCACTAAAAAGGTTTCATCCATATGAGCCCAATCATTAATGTATGTGTGAGAAAAAAAAATTAATAGCGTACCACCTGAACAGTTCCCCATTCATCAGGCTGTGAAGAAGCTTGGAAATGAACTATGACATTAGGGTTGTGCATCACAATAGTTTCTCCACCAGGAAATTCCAATCTTTTATGCCACATGTTATTTTCTACAGCGTTCTTATATTCTTCCTGTAAAATATAAAGTTGCCTGCATGAAATTTAATGTTAAAAGAAAAAGTAGTAGAAGTAGGTCTTTGAGTAACAGAAAATAAAATGTACCCTGGGTTTCAAGCTCTAAAACTGAAATGCAGGACATTTACTTGACGTGTAAAAATCACATAATTTTGTAGCTAGTTAATGGAAGAGCAGGGATTTGAAAGGGTTAATCAATTTTCTTACTGTCTGTAACACACAGGGCCTTGGCTTATAGTCCTATTCGAATGGACTGAATGAACAAGTCCACCCGATCTGCATCATTGCAAGGTGAATACCAAGTCGAAAAATATTATCCCCTATGCTGGGATGGAACTATGGACCATCATGTTAGCATGCAAGCAAGTTTGTAGCTTGCTCAGCCATGTGGACCCCCTGAAATTCTGCATCCTAATAAATAGTTCAACCATTTTACCTCTAATTTTTGAGCAAATTCTTCATCATATGGAACATATCTATTGTCTCCTTCTCTCTTGTGAAACCAGGAACATCTCTGGACTTGCTTCGCATCTTCATCCCAATAGATAGCATATCTCTCTCTCTTACCAACATTACAATCATACCTTCCACCATCAGTTGAGACAATGGTGTTCTCTGGATTATTTATTAGCACTGAAATCAAGCAAAGCCATAAATCAATACTGGTAGAAAAATTTGATATACTAGTCCAACTTCCGTTAAATTCTGTCATAGTAATGTGGAAATTGTGCTATTTCAACAAACATATTCCTGAACAGAAGTATTTTGAGTATTATCAAAATGGCTGACAGTTATTTGAATTAGTAAACATATTTTGTAATATGATTCAGTGAATGTGGGGTCGTTTGAAATTTAAGTTCAAAATTCAAGTACACACAAGACCTCTCATATAAAATAGCAAATAGGTAGGATCAAATGAAAAGGTTCGGATCTACACAAGCATCCTCAAAAACTTGGTAGGGGAATATTGCACATCCAATCAGGTAAAGTGACACTCTGTATGACAGCTAAGGCCACACCTTGAAAGTATTTACCTGTGTTATAAGCCTCCTCCAGCTTTAATGAATCTCGAATAGAAAATGGTTTCCAAATCTGTCTCTTTTCGATGATAGTAGAAAAACACCAATGATGCTGTACAGGTTGATAAAGGAAGCTGCTAGTTGTGGGCGGAGCAGAACTCCTGCTTGACATATTGTAGGCATCTGATTGGTGTTGAGGAGCCATTGGTGTCACCATTGCTGTTGGTGGGCGTGGCGAGGACTGAGCTAAGGGAGGAGCAAATGGTGAACCAGTATTTGGTGGAAAATGACTGGCAGCTGTTCCAGGAGATGGAGCATAGGTACCCTGAGGGGTAGGAGCATAAGAACCCTGAGGGGGAGGAGCATAAGTTGGTCGTCCTTGTTGCCTGAAGATATTACCACTTACTGGAGTCCCTGAAATTATAAACAAATTGTTTGGATGAAAATGCCAATCTTTAGAATATTTTCTTATTTCCAGTCTTCACTATAACTATTGTGCTTAAGGAAATATAAGCAGGAAAATAGAAGGGTTGGTTGAATCCCAAGCAAATAGTGACACCCAAAATGTGTAACAATCGCAAAACGCTGATAATATGCACCATAGATTTTCACCAAAAATAATGAAACAGAAGAATAATCTGTGACTAGTGGAATCAAGAGTTTTCAAACAATAACAAAATAAGTCAATGCCTGTACTTCTTTTTAATGACCCTAAAAATGAGTAAAACTACATTTCTTTACTTCTGATTCGTTTAGTCTAAATCTAATGATAAAGGGACAGATGTACCATTTTAGGGGGTTGATTTGAGTCTTAATAATATGTTAATAGTTTTCATAAGTATTAGAAAATCACATATCACACATCACACATTTTTAACTTTCAGACGCACATGGATTTGAAGACTTAAATTTCAACAGTGGGCTGTGAACACTATTACTAATTGCTTTTGCTAAAAAATTCCTGTTTCTGAGACAAAAGTATGATTGGTCAAAAACTGGTGCATCTGTCCCTTTAACCCAAAATGAAAGATAAGCACATTTTTGTCTTACCCCTTCTGGACTTGACCAAGGCATTTAAATAGAATAGTAAAAACATGGAAATGTTTGAATCCTCCTCTGCTCATAAGATTCCATAAAACACAATTCTTACCAGTCAACTTGATCAAATGACTTTCTTAACACTAATCACAATACAAAAACATCAACAATGGGAAAAGGTCAAAGGTCAAATGCTGCTAGTTACTTTTTAATGAACTGAGAAGAGCCTTAAAGGCAATTCTTATTAAATATATTAAAGCGGCAATGTGTGTGAATTGATATATTTTGAATTTATTATCACAGTTGTTGAAAAAATAGAAATAAAGCGAACAATTTAGGAAGTCAGTTTGTTTTAAGACCATTCACAGAGGTATTCCTAATTTTGCATGTGTATAGACGACACTGATAGCATTAATTTGCACCATTCCATTTTTCATTCAAACGTCAGTAGTTTCTGCAATTCCCGCAAAAAGTTTCTGTCACTAATTGCAAAATAGGCTTGTATCACATAAGGCCTTGGCGATAAATGACATCATCAAACACTTAGTTTTAATGGAATTGCAAGATCCACAGACGTCTGATTGAAAATCAGAATTGTGCAAATTAATGCTATAAGTGTAACCAATACACATAAAATTTTCAGAAAACCTCCTTACAATCCCTTTAAGAAGTTCATGAAACAAGGTTATTTTCTCTACTGAAACAAACAAACACTAATAGAAGTTCAGAAAGGATTTAAGTCACAATTCCTGAGAAGCTGTCACACACTCTATCTCTTTAACACAGTATCAGATACAAACTTTAAAAACCAAAAAACATGACAATCTTACCACATAAGCCACAATATATTTTCATATGAATTTAACTCATAACCAACCCTAATAATGCTATTTATAGCCACATGATCAATACAACTACCTAGGATTATAATAATATTTTGGGGTAACATTTAATCCCGAAATTAGTCAGGCCTTCAGTAATGTAAAAACGTAGTAGTTAAAGGTACTTAAAAGGTCTTTTAGTCTTTTGGACACTTTCAGTCCCTTTTTTGCACCATTCCAATTTCCTATATCCAGTGCTTGTGGTTCCTGAATTCCACACTTGGTAATTTGGTAAGGTTATAAAATTTTATTTTTGTCATTGTGATGTCATAATCAGATAAAAAAAAAATCTATATACAGTATCATATTGGATGGGAAATCAGTATAAGTTCAGAAGCATCCTATTCAGAGAGTCCACATAGCTAATTATGATAATTTGGTATATTAGCATCAGACACTTAGAAATTTTTGGACAAAAGACAGTATAAATAACTTTAAAGTGTTGGCCTTCTCATTTTTTTTATTTCAAGAAGATTTATCACAAATTTAACAAAGATTTTCACCAAATTACCCGATTTATCCTTCACCAAAAAAACCCCAACCTACCTGTGTTTGATGGTGGCAAGCCAGACATGGTTGGTGGAAGACCAGAAGGTTGCGTTGAAGATTGACTAGGATGAAATGGTGATGGATTTGGTGTAAAAGTTGAAACAGGAGGGCCTCCTCCCATAGGAAAGCTTTGTTGAGTTCCTCCTCCAGCCGATGGAAAACTTGGTTGACTATTACTTATTCCAAAGGTTTGAGTACCCGGAAATGGTTGAGCTACATTATCCACCGTGGGAGGTCTTGGATTATGTCCTACTTGAGCAAATGGATCAGATGCTGTTGAGGATCCACCAAAGAGATCAGCACTGGTACTGTTAGTTGGTTGAAACATATTGAAGGTACCACCAGTAGATTGCGATGCAGGTAATTGTGCTGGACTTGATGATTGCCCAACAAAACTATCAGCTTCTCCTTCTTCATCTATCAATAAAAAAAAAGCTCAATGTACATGTAAGAAAAAAATTTCAAGATAGAAATATCTAGCTCTTGAGATAAAAAAAATCAATATCTATAAGCTTATAATTGAAAATAAAAATATATTACATAGAAATATTCTATCATTTTAGTATTTGGGCTTCTTTTTTCTATCAGATGGGTGCACTTCAAAATATCCTTCTCCTTGGAGAAATGATACAAGATAGTTTATTCTTGTGCTATAAACCTTGGAATATTCCAACTTTCAACTGTTCGTCAAGCGTACCAGGTCGTTAACCTACCCAATCATAACCCTACCTCAAGCAAATTTTTTTCCCAATAATGGGCAGGCTAGACAGGAAGTGCAATAACAAAAAAATAGTCTATGGATTCTACACTGCTGATTAAATAGTCATTACATTTGGTTAATAATGATGGGCAACACAACCTGTACCCAATAAGAAAGATTTTGTCTATTTTACTCATTTCCAACTGGCCAATACTTAACAAAGTATTATCCTAACCTTGCATGGGAGGACAATTTGCAGATTTTGAACATTCAATATTGAACAGACTAAATACAATTCAGAAACCACAGAGCCAGTCCGCCCAGTGGTCAGGAAGTAATGCCATGTCATGTTACACGTAATTCATTGAAAATTTTTTTTATTAAATTGACATACCAGTCACTAATAAAGGTGCTTCTTGCTGAATAACTGGCATAAATACATTCGGATTATCGGGAGGATTATATGTAAGACCACCTCCAGCCGACATAAGCAGCAGGGGTGGGGGAGTAGTATCTTTCTTCCCCCTATTTGCCATATTTCAGCTTATTTACTCTTTGGTTGTTGATTCCGGAAGTGGCTAACCGGTAGTTCACGTGTACAAAAGGGGAGCTACTCTTATTTCTGTTCATATTTATTACCTCCCTTAGTAAAATAATAGTGACTGTTGTAATAAATCTTTTAGAACACAAATTTCACCAGTCTGCTCTTCTAGTAGATCTTTCGACCACAAAAATTCAACGTTTTTAAAAAATTAGATAGAAATACAACTTAATTAGGCCTATATTAATCCATAAACTATAAAATCAAGTTCGACTTGATGGCAATAGCGATGTAAAACTGAACCGAAAAAAGCATTGTTGTAAGTGCGCGTGTCGATATATTCAATGACAAACGCAGAATATGTTTAAACCGCAATAAAAATCTTTTTAATTTCTAGCTACCCATTGGCCGTAACCCTTTTCAGAATAAATTCTGTCGTTTGATCCAGCCAAGAACCTAATGAGCCTAATGAGCCTAATGATCTCATGCTGCCGACATGTGTATCGAATACACAAGCCTCATCGAGGTAGCTATTTTTTTTAAATGGGCGGTTAACTATCCAAAACCGAACTGTATACGTATATCAGAAAAGTAAGCCAGGCAAATTTAAGTGGAACTTTCTGAAGACATATGACCAACAATCTGTTCTTCAAAGTCGATCGAATCTTTACAGTGGGTGCAGAGCATCGAAAACTTAACAAGAAAATGTTTGACTTTATTGTCACTAGAATTAGAAATATGACAAAAATTGATTATATCACAAATTTGGATTATAATTTTGCTTCAGGCAATATTTGCTCACCGGATCCAGAGGCCTTTTCTAGAGCATTGACCAATACTATTTCCTATTTTCTTTCGAAAATATGTTGGTTTATCTACAAATGTTCTAAGTCAAACCAGTCTACGGTGGTTCATATACGACATCATTTATTTCATTTTTGAATTAAAAAACTATTTTATTTCTTATAAACTGCGCTTTTCTGTGATTGATGCTTACTAAATGTTCGATCATATAAATGCACATCATCTACTTATTTGCCCGACTTAATTTGCACGGTAAATGGGAGGGGCGCATCTTGACACATATATGATTATGGTCAAGTGCTAAGATTTCTGAAAAAAGCCGAGAATGCGCAGAATTTCGTTTAAACACAAACATGACAATATATCCGGATCAAACTCCGAATGTCTGATAATTACGTCACGTGAAAATTACATTCGTGACTTCTATATCATATCTTATTTACAGAATTTTAAAGATGCATAGCCTACAATTTGCGAAGAATAAAACCAAGATGCATACTGATGTGTAATGCAACATTCTTTCCACCAAGAACAGTACGAGTATATCTGTGCTGACAATAGACTTTATAAACATAAGATTTCTTTCTTGATGTTCTTAACCGAATGGAATTGGTTTTATCAGATAAAACGTAACAGATATATTAGGTCGTAAAGACATCCACAGTCTGATAAGAACAACATATTGTTTTGTTCGGTTTATAGATAGGATTTGACATGAATTTCAGTTTCTAGGAAGAGGACTAAGAGACAGAGACAAGGAATGGGGGTGGGGGGGGGGGGGAAGAGATGGAAAGGAATTAAAAGAAAGAATTAAAATAAGAAGATTAAGAAGATGAGGAAGGAGATGAAGACGAAGATTAAGAAGATTAAGAAAACGAGCAAGCCTATACCAAGAAGACAAAGAAGAAGATGAAGAGGTAGATGAAGAAGAATGAAGAGGGAAGAAGAAGAAGAGGAGGAGGAATAAGAAAGAAGAAGCATAGAAAAAGAAAAAAAGCAAGACAGAACCTCAGACAAAACGCAGGGTACAGATTGATGGCTAAAGACTAAATGATCTTCCTTACAAAAAATCCATAGAATAAGTCAAACCCGTCTAGTAAAAACAGCACAAAAACATTACTAGATATAATACTTTTCTCTAAAACTCTTACGGATAAACCCAATCTCACATTGGTGTCAAGCGTCCATATGGGGCGAATATATATCGCTATAAGAACAAAAGATCATTGGATCATAAGATTTGTTTGAACTATATACTTTAAGTATTCACTTTAAACATTGACAACGTAATCTAATTGAAGGGTCAATTTCCGTGTAGGACGTAAGAGTTTAATAGCCGACTATTTATTTCATGCATTCATTCATGTATATTCATTTCAATTTTCTAACCACAACATCATAGACCACTCAGGTAGGTTATTATCTTAGCTATACAGATACAGATGGGGTTCTTTCTATCGCCCCAACCAACCTAGCTTTTACGTTAACCAGCGCATTAGGCATTACGAAACACTATACCCGTCGAGGTTATGCAAATTGTTGACATATTTCCTTATAGTTCCCAAATTTGAAAGAAATCTCCTGTTATATACGTATTTGATACACAAAACATTATGTAGACAGACGCTCAACTGCGCAATATTTTGACTGAAGTAAAAAAAAAAAACTGAACAAGAGCATGAAGGTAAGAACGTAAGGGGAAAATTGCCAATGTTTGATAAAAATTAAAAACGATATGGTTCCGAAAATTTTGGAAAGAACCATCGCATACTAAGGAAGTCCATTTTCCCATTTACTCTGGAAATTTTGTCATGGTGTCGCAAATCTTGTAATAAATAAAACCTGCCAAAGTCCTAATCGATGATGAAACCAATATTATGTCGTGTGCGCAGATAATGTGTCATATAGAAAAGCGTCAGCTGTCATATCAATACCACTGTTTCTCAGATTATATGTCAGATAATTGTTGATTTTCAGATGAAATTTCAGATCTTTCTGAAATATAATATGTATAAATCATAATAATAATCATAATGACTAGAAAATTAAGAGCTGAAATCTACGACAACTAAAAATGCTTAACGTTTCCTTAAAACCAACAAAATTAATCAACTTTCGCTCAATTAAACACCATATACCATTGCCCCTCCGGATTTATTACTTGCCCCTCCGAACAATTAATACTGACAACGGGCCTGCGTCCGCTTTTTGACTAATAGTTTTCGGGCCCCTTCGGGCCATGATTTGAGCATTTTTATGCCCCCCTTCCCCTCTGAAAAAATTCCTCGCTACGCCACTGATAGTACTTAATTTAGGATATTTTGGAATATATTTGCTCTGTCAATTGTGAAAATGATCACACTAAGTTATGAAAATGTGCTGATGGTAGTTGGATGTCCTTGGAACATTAAAGCCTTCTGATAACCCAGATTAAAGTCATAATAATTTATTGATAGACTTAAATCCTTCATATTGAGATATAATATGTAAATAAATAACTGTTTATTCGACCACAGCGCTCACTATATTCTTGTTGACGTTGTCCTAACTAATAAATCTATCCACTTTAATCTTTAAGTTAATTCGACGGACAGGTGGTGTGATTAGTAGCCAACAAACTTTATTAAAAATAGCTTGTCAAATCCAATCAGCTTTGGAACGAATATCTACCGTAAGTCTCGAAGGTTGTAAATGGTCACTTCCTCTTATGAGAGACGTTATTCCATTGGTTAATATTTTAGGTGCAAATTCATTCCAATTGTAATCCGAATGTACCACGTGATAAGTTCATGTTCATCTGATAGCAATGCCTACTGGTAAACAGAGGACGGTTTTTAGCCCAGTATGAGAATTAAACTAGGTCGTGAGATTAGGCTATCTGAAAAACGGTGAAAATTTATTTGGAGGACAACTAAATGAAGCATGGATTTAGATTCTTAGATTTGGAGATTAATGTGTATTAACAAGGGGATGATAAGATATTCTATGTGCAGGTGTTTCATGCTTTGTTATCTTATATAAATACAGAGTCTTTGCATTAATTCCATCATTCCGATTGTCACTTGGAATCCAGAGACAGACAGGTAGGGTCTAAATACAGGAATTCTTTTTTTTGTTAATCAGATATTTTTTTTTCATTTCTATTTAATTTTAAAGAACTATTTCACTTACTGACATTGCAAAGGGATTGGCTGTAGCTCAGTCTGTTACAGCTTTGAAGTTCTTATGTCATATTATTTTTTAATCATGGACTCTTATCTCGGTCGGCACATGCAGCCGAATGACCTTGATAAGTCGTCTGTTCTCATTATTCCTGTTGGTCAAGCTGTAAATACGGAAAATCGAGGGGAAAAAATTACCATAAATTTTTGGCACCGACCAACTGATAAACAGGATATAGGAGCACTTTTTTTTGGCTAAATCCCACTATGAAGATGGGTGACGTTGAAATTATGGTCTGATGGAGCCACAGCAATTCTATCAGATCAGGTTACTCGTTGAAACCGTCTTGTTTTGGATGATAAAAAAATGTCGATTTTTCAATCATTTTCACCGTATCAGGTCTAATAAACTGATCGTATGAAAACGTTACAGAAAGCTAATGCACACAGATCACAAAGATTGGAATCAACCTTCCACGAAATTTCATTGAAGTTACTTGTAACTTTTGAGATGATTCTCACGTCAAAATATCTTCACGATCTCTTAAATATACCCAAATGAATTCGATTCCCCTACAAAAAATAATGTGTAATTTCGACGATGATGAACGCAGCGATATGTTGAGTAGTTGGTGAAATAATGACGTCTATGGTCACTGGCCTGTATTGACCCCGTAGAACCTTATTTCCTTTCCTTCTGCTGGAAGAAAATGTTGTTATCTACCAACCAAACATTTCCTTTCATATCTATGTAGGATGAAGTGGCTTTTGCTACTCAGTTTAGCTTTGGTTGTTAAAGGCAATTCCTCATCAGAACAATCTAAGGGTAATACTGTTATCGATCCTCTACCAGACAATGGTATTGATAGTGCCAACGATGATTCCGACAGAGTAATAGAACCAGAAATTGCTGAAATAATTTACAATGAGGAGGTAACTAGCTTTTTATTATTATGATTGTTCAATGAAATTGGAATCATATCTCTGTGTACCGTGTTGCATTTGCCGTAAAGCAATTTCATAAAGGTTTTATGATGGTTGTTGATGCTTCGAGATCTGTACATCTACTTACTACTGAACATATATTTGCTCTTTAGAATATGTAAATGCTCCATTATAATGCAACATACATGTCAGAAAATCTAAAAAATCATCTAGCATTAACTTGAATAATATTGATTCAACTAGTTAAAATAAGCCTCCCTCTTCCAAGTTTAAAATGACTAATCACTGAGTTCTGAATACCTGATGCTGTTTGCCACTCCTTGATAATTCTCTGGCTTCTACTCGATCCCTACATCTTCTGATTCATATGATTGTACAATTAACACGTTCACTCATATTTGCAGCCAATGCCCGAACCTCCATCAGATGAAAGAGAAGAATCGAATCACGAGAGAAAGAAAAGATACATCAAAACGAGCACAACTCTCTGGCCGAATAACGAAATTATTTATTCCTATACACCTTCTGATTGTAAGTAATTTCGATTATTCAGTTATATTACTTGATTGAAAATCGATAGATTTGATGAACAAGTTCTTAGCAAGCTGCTAAGTGAGTTAGACGCTTGCTCGCTAACCTGAAGGTCCAGGGCTCAATCCCGGCATAGGTCGAGATAATACCTTCGGATTTTTCAACCCGGTTTCCCCCTGTCAGTGATGCAGGTAAGAGGGGCTGACATGGAAAAAGTGTCTTGTCGTTCGGATGGGACAATAAACCGAGGCCCCGTGTGCTACAGGCTGTGCACGTTAAAGATCCCTCGACAGTTGGAAATCGAAAAAGAGCAGGCTAATGCCGCTGTCCTGGCAAAATTTCCCTCATTGCACCTTGCATGGCGTTGCCCTGTCTTCATTAGCCCACGTGGTGCAGAAAAGTAGGACGTAAAACTCCATTCATTTCATTTCATTGATTAAATGCTATTGAACCGATACAGTTGGCTGGATGCACCCCAATAGTAAACGTCGAATGATACGGTCGTTTGGATGAGAGCATTTTGTGAAACCATATGATCCGAAGGCCACATCAGCACCTTAAGATATACTATCAATTACATTTAACTACAAAGAATACGGTCGTCCCCTGATCAGTACTGTATATCATCATCATCATCGTCATTGTTAATGTTATCATCATTATCATGTGATTATGATGATGATTACTTTTGATTTTGACGCTGATGATGATACTGCTGATGATGATAATGATTAATGTAATGTTATTGTTTTCGTAGATTCAACAGCGGGTTCCAGGAGTGCTATTGAGTTTAGTATTGGCTATCTTAGAGACAGGACTTGTCTCAAATTCACTGAAGTCGACCAGAAGAACTACAGTGCACCTCATGTTAGATTTGTCAGGTAATGTCAAGATGGCGAAGTATCGAGCACGATGTGTCTCGTCCTGCTGACAAAGCAATACTATGAGCTCTTATTAGTTAATCTTATTGCAGTAATGATATTGCCCTTTATTATTAAGCTCGTGTTCATAACAAGATCTAATTTGGCTCTAAATCTGGAACATACAAGCAACGGAAGGCAAATGATGATAATTACAGTTTTTCAGCTGTCCGTGTGCTCAGATCAACTAAATCCAGCAATAGATCAGATTCAAACAAATAGCGTCAGTTGCTAAAAGTTATTGAAAATCAAGGAGCTCATGGATCCTGTCAGTCGCCAGATCCTGCAGAGCCACCTTCTTTAAGTTATGACAACCCGCCTTTGTGTCCATCATATTTTAAAAACTGCTGCACAGGACAGAAAAATATAAATTTCTTGGTGGACTGTGTTTTCATTTTATATTATAGACAAAATGGTTGTCAAGCTGATCTAGGCTACAATCCTAATAGAGATACAACTTGTAGTTGTTGTAGTAAGGTAAGACTGTTAACGGTTTATTAAGTGATGATCCTTAGCTTCTTGAGGTACTGTAGGTCTCACAAATTCTTATATGTATATTAGTTATGATTATACTAGCCATTGATTCAGACGTACTGTGGACTGTATACCAACAATTCTTTGATACAATAACCTTACCAATGTAAAGCGTTCATTTGAAATATTTGATTCTTCATTTCCCTAAAGGCAGATGAAGTGGTTCCAGGAAATTGCAATACAATTAAGGACTAGGAAGAGTCTGTAAATAGAGAGGTGCCCAATATCGAAAAGTGAATGAATGAATCTCTTGCCCAACTTATCGAAGGTGGCCTAAATGCTGAAAAATGTGTACCTGTAACTTGTAAGCAACGGGTCCTTGAAACGATTTATTATTGATCTTCAGAAGCGATGACAGCTGAAAGGCAATTCACCGAGGTAAATCAGTATAACTATGATGGCCTGTCTCTGCTGTTTTTCAGGGAACATGTTACCACGAAATGCTGCATGTGTTAGGTTTTATGCACGAACATCAAAGACCTGAAAGAGATCGATATATTGAAATCGATTATTTGGTGATCGATCCAGGTAAAATAAGTTTTCACGAAAATATTTTGATTTTTAGTACTTTATTAGTGAATTCTTGCCTGATCTTTGGCCAGGGTTAATCTGAATGTTCAAGCTCTCTTTAGTGGATTTACTCAAAATATCTTTTTGTTTAATTGTAAGTGAACAAGACGTCCTATTTTAATTCTGAAAAGATATTTGGATGTGAGCTAGCATACCCCTGAAATTAGGGCCAAAGCATAAAAAGCTATGGTTTTGAATGTGGTCTGAATTTTCAACCGCTTGAAGATTGATAATGAAAGACAGTTGTAGTCTTCATCTTCTGTCAAGTTCTTAATTGCCATTGATTTCTATTATTAAGTAAAATGGTCACAATTTGTAATGCTGAGTGAAAATGAAGTGAGCTATACAGATAAAGATATATATAAAGTTGGTTCAACCATGCACTACAGTGGATGGGTAAGGATGATTACGTAAATCTTAAAGATGGGTGTCAAATGAAGCAAACTATTTGATTAATTGGTGTTTCTAATGAATTATCATGTATTCTTAATCATACCATTATGTTCTTATTGCATAAAATGAAGCGTTTTAACCAATCATAAATGTCCATGTATGTACAGTCTGGATAAACAAAAAAAGACTTTTTGACCTTTCTTGATCGGTCACACATTGGGATTTTGTTGATAATTCTCTCCGAATTTAGTTCATTATGAATTAATTATGGACATGTGAAACAAACTGGTATTTTTTCCAAGTCATTACAACACCTCTACTTTCTATTCATATAAGTATTAGCATTTTCATTTTCATAAATGAAATTAAGGGAATCCATCTTTAAGATATCAATATTATCTATACCTACAAGGCCAGATCGATCAAATGATGCCATGGCCTAAACAGACTGATGCTTGAAGAATGATCCGCCTAAAGCCGTTTGACGACTTATTATTGGTCGCCTTAAAATGCTCGGAATCAATTGGCTGCCGTTAATTTTCAAAAGGCCGAAGCGAAAATTAGACAAATTAGACTCAATCAATTACTTTCACTTTTTAATAGGCTTTCCAGAAAGATCACTTCGGATCGGCCATTAAAACTGTAAACGATGATTATCAAATGGCAGAAGATTTTTACTACCCCATCAGAGAAGCTAATATACGTTACAAATGTCAACAAGGTGCGTTGATTAGTCAATTTTGATATGCATATATTTAATGATTATTAGCAGGTAGATTTAGCACAACAACAAATGAAGCTGAAATTTCCGAATCTGGCTTGATTAAATTATTACATTTATTCATTAAACTAAAGGTTTAAAAAACAATTTTACAAGCATGACGATGCATTAACTTCGTTATTCTTTGTTACCAATAATGACAGCATCACTATTATTTACCACAAAACCAAGTCGCTCAGGCTGATTCAAAATAGCCAATCATATCTATATGGGATAAAAACTTCTTTATACGCTTCTTCAATATTTCAGCCGAATGTTCAAATTTCAATCTGACGTGTGTTAATGATGGATATGTTACTAAATACATGGGAAAGTGCCAATGTGTCTGTCCAGATGGCCTGTCACCTAAGGATGGCTGTAGTAAAGCTGTCACTTCCGGTTTGTTGCAATATATAATAATTGATTATATCGACATTCCTTAAAGGGGATTAATTATGTTATTAGTTGATTGTTGGTCAATTATATCCAAAGCAATATGAATATGATTATTCATGATCACCCCTTAGACCAGCTTTAAAATTGATATTTATCATTTCCGGTTTATGTGTTTGAAAATGCATAGCACATTTACTACTGATATTGTAATGGTTCAAGTAAATCCACATAAATGTTTTTGAAAGCAACCAGGACCGTAAATTATAGCTATATAGAGGAGGCAGTAATGGAAATTATGTGGTTCAAAATCCTTAATTTGGACAATACGAAAGTGTGTTTTGCATTTGACTTGGAGATGGCGGTCACCTCTACGTACTGCGTAATTTACGACAATATGGCAATTTGGTAATGTCTTTTCATTACTCTTTCTTCTTTCATTTTAGCAAATGCCGTCGACTGGCCAAGAGGTTCATATGCATTCGTTGCCGCTGGTACAGGATGTCCAGCCGGGTTCAATATAGGTCATAGAAAACATTGGAGTGCTGGTTTTTCCTGGGCCCAAAGTGCCAACAATCCAATGAAAGGAAAGCAAGATCATTATTCCACAGAATATGAGTTTTGTGTCAGTAGAAACAATTTTAATAACAGTAATAACAAATGGCCTGCTGGTGTTTACTGTCTCCATAGAGTTGGAGGAACTTGTCCTGAAGGTAAGGATTGGAACCGCATCACAGCTATACACAAATAGATAAAGATAGAGAATCATTGCATGTGCATCTGATACATTCTGATCGCAGAAACTTGCCTATTCACAAAATACAGATCAGAAGATCTTCACGATCTCCCAAAGAATCCAATCAAATTCGATTTCTCACAAATGACAATGATGTGCCCAATACAACACATCCATTTCGACAACGGTGATAAATGTACAGGTAAACACATAATTTAAATGGATTATAAAAAGGTTTTCTAAAATTATTCTGTCATAAAGACCCTTCGCAATTAGCAATGTCACCAAACACTTAGTCTGAGATTAAGGGATCTTTGTTTTTGTGGAATTGCAGGAAACACAGATGTCTGATTTAAAATTGGAATGGTGCAAATTGATGCTAACAGTGTCTCTGATACACATACAATTTTTAGAAAACCTCTTTAAAATACCTTTAACAATCCGCCTTAGAATGTCGTATATCCAGTGGATGTAACACTATAATGGATTTGTTTTTTTTCTAAGGCTTCACTCCTGGTGCTGTTCAATTTGACGATTTTATCCGATCAAGTAGTAGTCATTTCAACAATACTAAATCGGGTGATTTGCCAGATGGCGTTTTTGATCAAGATACTAAATTTGAATTTTGTTGTCGATCTGATGGTTTAAAGACAATCCCCATAGAACTTCCTCTTACCAACGAGTTTGTCTTGTACAATGCTGATAACACCATTAACGATCCTTGTCAAGCAGTCAAAAGTAAGTTTACCGCAAAAAAAATCGCAATGAACTTCATGAAAAACAAATCTACTCATAACAAAACACGATTCAGTTGGGTACTCGATCAAAATTCACCTTAAGCCTTATTATTAAGTACATTTTTACACTTTGATGGTCATATTTGTTTTGAGAAAGATTGACCTACAGTTTATATGCTAGCAAATGTTTTTTTTTCATTCTCAATTTGTAGAGCATAGAAACTAGTGGAAATGTGAAAATGCAGATTTATAAATACACGTTAAGAGCTAAAATTTCAAAAAAGAAAAGGCGAAAAAGTTTTCTTAAATATTCCACTATCTTCATTCGTTGCGGAACAAGACATCCTTTTCATCCCTGACTTCTTTCATTTATTTCAGATTTCAATTCATATAAATATTATTACTCCTTTAACAATTATATTTCTGCCAATGGTTCTATTGCATCTCGAACTGGGAAATATCCATTTAGTTTTACGTATAATGGAGTGAAAACGTTCCTGTTTTACATTTGTCATTATACCCCTCTTGATGTCTGTAAGTATATTTCAGTAAGCTTCATAAAGCTTCATTATGTTCACTGTTCAAGCTCATTCAAGTATCAACATCATGGACATCATCATCAGCATCATCATTATCATCTCCATCATCATATGTAAGTATTACAGAAAGCTTAATGGAGCTTAATTTCAATGTTCAAGCTCAATCCATTACCACCAGTTATGGACATCATCTTCATCCTCATAATCATTATCATCATCTACATTTCAAAAAGCTTAATTGAGCTTAACTTGTGTTTAAGCTTATTCCATCACCACCATCATAGATCTCATCATGATCGATCATTATCATCACCATGCAGTAATCGTTTCTTCATCATCTTGACCCCAATCACAACGATTGGCAAACTCATCATCATGATCAGCGTCAGCACCATAACCATCATCATCATCACCATCACCATCACCATAATCATCGCCATCATCATCATGATCATTCAGTGAGCTATCCTTTATTATGTATGATTTAAGTATCATCAGCATCAGGATCGACATCATCAGCATCAGCATCTGAATCTTCATCTGGTTATTAACGTAAGATAACTAGTATAATATAAATGTCTTGTTTCATTACAGCGTGTGGTGGTACGATAGAACTAGATAATAACAACCCAAGCCAGAAATTCACATCTCTCAATTTCCCCAATAACTATAATCACAATTCAAAATGCTCATGGTTGATAACGGTAGGAAACCATCTTATTCACCTTCTTTTAATATCGCACTTTAAATCTTTCACTACTGACAACACGCCACAAATGTTCACCATGCAAAGTAACACCAGCAGGACAAAAAACCTAATTGAAAGGAAAATGTAAAGCATATAAAGCAATTTTTTTCAGGCTCCAGTAGGAAGTAAGATATACCTTGATTTTGACAAGTTTGACGTTGATTGTTCCGATAACGTAGAGGTTAGAGTATTTAATATTGGTGAACAACATCCTAAGTAAGTTGTTTCTTAACCTAGCTAAAAGTTGTGTGGGTTGCATTTTGCTTTTTCTTTTCTGTATTTTGTCAGGCCCTTATTTGTTTACCATGTTTGGTTGGCCTCTTGTCTACTATACTGTTTTGATGTACTCATATCCAAAAGGAATTATTTCGTTAACCTACATTATAAAAAAACATTATTTGCTTCTTTGAGCTGTGATGTTCCCCATGAGCATCACTGATCAGATGTTTCTGAGAAGTTCAACATCACTATAAATAGAACTTCATCTTAAAAGATCATCACTAATCATTTGTTTCTGGAAGTTTACCATCGTCATCACGACACTATGTTTCAAAAGAACATCACTGATCAGTCGTTTCTGGAAGTTCAACATCGTCATCACTAGACTCTGTTCCAAAAGGGGGAACACTGGTAACTGTTGGAAGTTCGATATCGTTCTCTGTTTGCGTGAACATTGTAGATATATAATTGTTCTAAATGTGTTGAAGTGGCAATTTACCAACCAATGGTTTTCAGCTGTTGGTATCCTTGCTACAATAGTTTATATTTGTAGGTTCTGTTTACACAATGGGAAGACCTTTAGAAGTTATACCAATAAGATGACAGTCATATTTCATACTTCGGAATCTAAGGCTTCCTCTGGATTTCATGGCAATGTGCGATTCGTTAAAGGTAAGATCACTAAGTTTAGGATTTTGGCTAAAAATTAAAAGGAAACACCAGTCGAAAAATCTAAACCAATGTAAATGGCAATATTTTCCGTTCTTTCTTCTTTGGCTCTTGTAAGATATCGCTAAGGATTCTCCGTAAAACGAATATATTACCTTCAGTTGCCTTACCTCCAATGTGTGCATGTGATATTATTGGCCTACCATTGTCCATTGTCTATCTAAATACCAATATCTGTTCTTTCTTTTTTTTGATTCTTGTCAAATATCGCTAAGAATTTTCCATAAAACGAAAATATCACCTTGTAATTGTCCAGTTTGCATTGTGCTTTACCTTTATAAGTGTTAATATGAACGGTACCGATCGGCCGCTTAACTGTGACAAATCACAAGGCGAAGTTTGCCAGAGATTACGATACTCAGATATAATTTGTATTTTAGATGAAGATAACTGCTATGATTACAAAGATTATGGTGCTTCATATCGAGGTACTGTTAATATCACAAAGAATTTTGAAACTTGTCTCCCATGGAGTGAAACTCTACTTTGTAGATATTCAAGTCGAAATCCAAAGTAAGTAGACATAGTTGAAGCTATTTATTTGAAATAACATGTAGAATGTAGAAATTGAATGACACAAATTGATACTATCAGTGTCCGTGGTTAATATATACAATCCTTTTAACTGGGGTTTTGTGATGATTACAAATTGGCGAATATCGGCTGACTTAGATCTGAAAAGAAATCGGCGGCGCTTTCCTTGCACAACTGGGGGTACAGACTTAATGGTTTTTTGTTTATATTGTAGAGATGCTGAAGCTGGTTTGGATAGTAATTATTGTAGAAATCCTGGTTCTGCTGACAGACCGTGGTGTTATACCGAGGCTACTGAATGTAAGCGACGAGTTTGTGATGTCTGTCAACAAGGTAAGAATTTGTTTATAGGGGTAAAACAGGGTTGGACTCCTGCTAGAAGGTTGCTTTTCTGGTAGGTGGTTGGTATAATTAGAATTGTGATGAAAGTTCTGCAAAATTTGTATACAGTATCCCTTAGACGGCATTTATCCACCTAATATATGATATTAGATCGATGAAAAATGAAAACCTCAAAGCGTAGTTGATGGGAGATTTGTTGTTTACAAAATCAGTGGAACCATTGTAGCGAAATTTTGTTGAAGTCACTAGAAAACTGGAGTCATTCGGCAGTTTATACGGTACAATGATGAATAATCAACTTTTTCAGAGAAGGTGCATGATGTATATGCAGATTGTCAGAAACTGATATCAACTGTAGCTAACTTCTGTTCACAAGATCCTCGAGCTTCGGCTAATTGTCGATCATCTTGCCTTAAAGATAATCCTCTACCAAGCAAACCCCAATCGAGTAAGTGTACAATATTTCATTCAATTTGAACTCTGCTATAAATACCGCAGTTGGTAGCAAGCGAGACAAGTCATGCTTGTTTATTTGCACTGGTGTACTGGTTGGTTGGACGATTAGTGTATAACTGTTTATATATAGAACAGCTGGGTGTAAAACTCAATTTCATTTGTCTATTTGATAGGGTCTTCTGTAAGCTGTAATCCGCCGACAACTGTTCCTTCTGATGGTTATACCAATGATACTGTTAAATCGTCCTATAACGTTGGTGATATTATTACTTATACTTGTAATGATAATCCTGCCTCCACTGTTAAATTAATGTGTTCAGTAGATGGAACGTTTAATAGTTTTACTAAGGCTTGTAAAAGTGAGTTTTAAAGAGATATAGTTGTATAGACAGGTTTACGTCCGAGCGGATTATCTGGGATTGCCAGAATTTGTAACCTTTATATGAGATTTTTGCCAGAAAAACTTGCTTTCGCAGCTGCAAAGGGGTGTGGGGGGGGGAGCTGCCCCCTCTATCCCCCCCCCCCCTTTTAGCTTCGCCACTGTGTATATATATTTGCTCTCCCAGCTGTTAGAGCTCCATTTCAGCTGTCCGGGGTACTTTCTAGATTAATGCTTTTTTTTACCTTTCCGTTGCTAATTGTAATAACTACGAACTGTGGTTGTTCTTAAGTACATGTTTGGCCTGCAATCGGTAATAATAGCACCTGAAAACGTCAATAATTCTTTTGATATAACTTCCAACCTTACGATTTATTGATTTTACAAAGGAAGCAAATGTTGGATAATGGCACTGGATATGTACCCTGTTACATGAGAAATCAAATATTTAGAAGACCATATACATTAATATTTTAAGCTTATGAATTTTGACAATGATCTAAAAAGGTCTTCACAGTTTCAGCAAAAACCTTCAGATTGGTGTTCTCTGCAGCTCTTGAATTTGGTTGGTAAAGAAGTCATACACTTTTAGAAGTATATGTGCAAATTATTCTTACGTGCGAAAACTGTAACTTTAGCTTCTATTGATGTCTTTCAGTGTGTGATGACGGATGGTTGGCATTAAATGGTATCTGTTATAAAAAGGCAGATCGTTATATGTCGTATACGAATGCTCGTGTAAATTGTGAAAAGTTGGGTGCCAAACTAATTATGCCAAAATCACAAGTTGCTTATGACTTCTTACTACGTGTCAGGTAATATTATTTCTGACAATTGCTATTCTTTAATCGTTTAAAGAGAAAGAGGAAGCTCACCCAATTGATACAGCTCTATTTCATCTGTCGGTATAACGTTTCTGGATGAAAATCCGACGGGACAGTGTTTAATATGCTTAAAATGCAAATACCATGAACGATTACATCCTTTAAATAATTCAAACATCGAACAAGGTGGTTTTGGATTCAGAGTGCAGTCGGCCTGCGAAGATCTGGTGACTGTGTTTAAATCAACTGTCCTCGTTATTCCTGTCGACGTAACCACTGTAAATGACTATGGGGAATCCGGAAATGATCATTGGCAAGGATCCAACGAAACCTAGTTGGTTTGCTTTCCATATGATGAAAAATTACATATATCTGATTGAAAAATTACAGTTTTGTGGAACAGATCCGTTTTTTTAAACCCTTACGATCATTCACGCGCTATGCGATATTTTATTTGAGAAGGTGTAGCTTCAACTATAATTGTTCTTTGCAATTTGTTCAGAAATAAGTTAAAAGAAACGTGGCTTGGTGCTAATGATATAGCTAAAGAAGGTACCTGGAGATGGTTAGATAATACTATTATTAGACAGGAAGATATGAGATTTGGAACTGGACGTAAGTTAACATTTTTATTTGGGCGTAAATCTGACTTAAATCTAGAGCATTCCACTTATTCCAGTAATATGTTATGAATAATCTCATCGAATCCAATCTTGTGGAACATGTGATGCCACTCAACAGTCTTATTAGGCTATTATGCTGTAAAGCTCCCACAAACCTATAACAAAGTTTTCATTTCTACCATTTTTCAGAGCCGTCCAATTCGTCGGGTTCATATGATTGTGCTAGTGTGTTGTCGATCAGAAATAATCCATTGTGGGTTGATAAGAATTGTTATCATTCAGGACTTCATTACGATTCTGTTTGTGAAAAGCCAGGAAAGGGTAAGCTTTTTTCTCTATAATATGATATTGTCTGAATTAGGAACATATGAAATTGGCAAGTTGTTAAGACAAGGATAAGCTTATAATGCGCTATCATTCCTTTCGATTTGGTACTACGGACGAGGTATGGATGACAATTATTCAATTTAAAAGTGCCAAGCAAGGTATTCTTGCCATACAGATGGTCTTAGGAAGACCTGGTAGACATAGTAGATTCGATCATCAATTCATCCAAAGTAATTCCGTTAATAGGCAATTAACAAGATACCATGTATCATTTGGAAATTTTGAATTATTTCAGATGTTTGTCATGATATGATCCCAGATTGTTCTGAACGAGCAGCTCAAGATTACGATTTCTGCAATGCCGAGAATGGATTTGCTGAATTATATTGTAAAAATTTCTGCACTGGTTGTAAAAGTAGGTTTAGGTGCTTCTTTTCATTCGATGGAAACATTTAAGCTGCAAATCTACCACAATCCACAGCTGCAAAATCAGCATACTTACCAGCTGCAACACTCACGTCATCCGCATCCACAAACATGCAACCACCAGGGAATGTTCATCACTATAGAGTGATTTTTAACAACCTGTAGCACAATATGTGGCATTGGTTTAATGTCCCATCCAAGCGACAAATCGCCAACAGGCTGGATCGAACACAGGAATCACCAAGCCGCTTAGCAAGGTTCATACTTTGCAACAGCTGTTTAAACCAAAGCTTAATACAGAATGTTATGATAACATCTTGCTGTTATCTTTTTAACAGAGTGCGACGCCGGAGGAGACTTTTATAATGGTAATTGTTATTATCCACAACCAGATAAAAAGTTGGGTTCCGCTGCTACTGCTGCATGTGCTGCAATGGGTGGGCATTTACCAATTGTAAAATCTTGGGCAGATGTAACCAAAATAAATTCCTAGTAAGTCTTTATGTGTATCAAAGTAGTAAAAAATAAAATAAAATAAAAAAATAAAAAAATTATTTCCATTTTTGAATGGTTCAGATATGCAATAAACTGTAGCTTTACACATTATATGTGTGATGTTTAATCAATTGTGCTTATTGATTGCGTGTTAATTGTGTAATGCTTGAAATTTATTTCATATGATGTAAATGTTATTATTCTTAAAGCTTTGGTATTCAGTGGCTTGGTTTAACAGATGTAGCTACAGAGGGTTCCTTTATGTGGCCAGATGGTACACCGCTTGGTAACTTCAATAATTGGGGTGTCAGTGAGTATTCGTAAAGTAATATATCCGGAGGAGCAATAGTGTATTCCAATAATGGAATAAGCCGGTTGTCCGGATTTTCTACAAGGGACAATCCATTTTTGGTGCCATTCTCATCCCCTAAATCATCCGATCCAATGTGATTGGATGGCCCCCGTCTATGAAATCCTGGCAACTTCACTGCATGGAACAGACTGGGCTGATTACGTCGGGTTTAGGCTTTAGGGGACCGAAAAACCTGTTTATATTTTAATCATTCCGGGTGTGCATAATATCTTTTTCTCGACTACATTGGAAATACTTTTGTAGATAATGATGGAACGAAAGAACCAGATAATTACTATAATTCTGATTGTGTTTTGCTTTACTACTCTAAGTGGTATGATCGTTACTGTTCTTATTATGAATACTACAACTATGTCTGTGTGAAAGAAAGCAAGGGTAAGTTTTTCGGCTTAATGGTTGTAAAGAGTATTGGGAACACTTATAACATACATTTTCAACATAACAATTTTCAATCAGACGTCAGTGGCTCTTGCAATTCCACTAAAACGTGTTATATGACGTCACTAATTGCAAAATATGCTTAATCACATAAGGACTTCGCTATTAAAGAATTCAATTTTCAAGATTAGTATTCGCAAATGATGTTTTAAATTATTTTATTACAGTTGCTAAATGTGCTTTACCAAATGCAAGTAATAATTCTACATTGTCTCACGGGGTTGAACCATTATACCAAGGCAGCCGTATTGTTACAAAATGTAATGATGGGTACATGGCCACTTCCGGTGATATAACAAGAATTTGTTTAGCTGATGGAACGTTCAGTGGTTCAGCTCCAGTTTGTGAAGGTAAGCTCATCTAGTTCACGTCCTATTTTTCTATACCTTTCTAAGGCAGTGGGGTTGACATTAATCCAGTCGAAGTATCATCAGTTTGATTCCTCTCCGATTTATAAATAACGTACCTGTTCCATCTAAAGCCTGTAGGACATTTGCCCTCAATCCAGCTTACAGACATTTTGCACGATTTCCCGTAAAAAGACATCTTTTGACTGTAATAGAAGTCTTGGTTATGTTATATTCACACGAGGTCATTAACAGAAAATCTGGAAGCGTTTAAAATCTGCATCGTTTTTTCTTGCAGATGAAACAACAGCTAACGTCATTACACCGAACAATAATGTACCTATCGAAGACAGGCGCCAAACAATAGCTACATTAAATGGTTACATGTTTTCTGGTGATTTTGAGCAATTTGAGATACCCCGTGCTGGTCAGATAGTTAGTTGGGAATATTTCAGTAGGGCTGCTGGTAATGTTGGTCTGATGGTTTTTGAATACAATGGGACAAAGTAAGTACCACATAACTTCGAGCGTAGATATGAAGGAACCGCCCCCAGATCTTTCAAAAAGAGGCCATAAGCCCTTTTAACTGTTTGTAGCAGGTGTACATGGGTCTTGTAATAGACTAAAGGGGGTGGCGTTGAGGGGGGGGGGGGTGATATGTTCAAGCACTACCGGTTGTCCATCATATACATCGTATAACCGTCTCTTGATGATACTTTATGCAGTGGCTCAACTACATGGGTAGCTGCACATTGACGCATGTAGGTTGCCGACTTTTCAATAACAAGTGTTGATAATTGATTTGCTTTATTTATCAGCAGTCTGAAGTTGAAGGGCTATAATTATATTAAAACCGATGGTGCCAGTCGACATTCCATTTATCATGTACCAATAGCAGGTAGAATTAACGTTGAAAAGGGTGACAGAATCGGTGTTTGGTTCCCGGAAAACAAGCAGGTCATCGGCGTGAACTACCACCATGACTACGTGGAATGGAGATATCCAACCCAACAAATCAGAAGAAGTTACAATGCCTACAATAGCACTACCAGTATCAGCGTGAACACAACTTATGACTTTTATGAGTCAAGTTCATCGACCAAAGAAGCTAAGGTTTTGCATGGCTTCTTTTCTCTCAGAGCTAATATCGGCCCTAGAAATTAACCCGAAAGACACATCTATAAACTTGTATTGGTTATGGAAAATAAAATTGTTTTTAAAAACATATAGACATTTTGTTTGGTTTTTGTCGCCGTTTCCGTTTTAAAGGTTTTTTCTTTTTTGAAATTTCGTATTTTTATCTGAGGGTGAGATAAGGGTGGAGTTTGGGGGTGGGCTGGGGCTCAACCAGTCCCTATGATAATTGAGCCACTGGGAGAGTGATGTATGCCTTTTCAAAGTCAGCACTCCGACATGCAATGAAAGAGAGAAACCGAGTGAAGACCCACAGGTGTTGTCTCGTGCATACACAATAGTGGAGAGAGGCATTTGGGCAAGCAATTATAGAACGAGCCTCCCTTGAAATCAATGAAAGTTAGACAATATTCCAGTGATCTTTTGTACTAATATTTCTGAAATCTTGATAAAGTATTGTTTCTGAGACCAGCCACTGACGTAATGACTGTCAAAGGCTATATATTCCTCCATTGCCATGATCGAATCAAGAACTTCTGGTAAAATATGAGTACATTTGTATATCTTCGAATCATATACACCTATATACTTATATACACTAACACTATCAATCTATATAAATTAATTATTTATCATGTTAACAACAATAATTTTATCATAATATCATTTCTAACTAATTCATATCGGGTAGATTTTATATCAAATCAATTTGAAGTATCTTAAAGTAATACTACCTATTAAAATGGATATAAAATTTAAACTCTCAAACTTGGTAAATAAGTGTATATATTCATCAGTCGGACTTAACAGGCACCATGACTAATGAATAGAATCTGTATATAAGATGAAATATTGACCAAACCAACGCTTCTAAGCGTGTATCAGAATTAGTTAATTTAATGCATTATTACTTAATTTTATGGATATATTATTATTATAGAGGGATCCTGTCCAGGTAAGACTCATTTTAACCAAGTTTAAACATTTCAATTTTTCGGTCATCCTAAGAGATAGTAAATCTTTAATAAAAATTAGAACTAAGTGAATGTTAAAATACATCGTTTTCACAAAATATTTAGAAGACTGTTCCTATCTCACATTTTTAATTGTTTTGGTCGGAGAAACGTACACGATGGTTTCTTTCTACCTACAGTTGAGTTAAAGATTTAGAGGACTTTAATATATAGACATATACTTTAATCGTCTGAGAAGACAAGTGAACGAAAAGGTGCCCTAATTCGCACATAAGCACTAAAACTATCTTTAGATATTATACCTGTACATACTATCCTAAAAACTAGCACAGAGTTCGTGAAATTAAGGATCACAAGAGTAAATATGATCATCAGGAGCTTTACGAGATGGACTCTTACCCGCCAGCCTGATCAAGCAGTCAACTGTCAGCAGTTCTCAATGATTATGCATATTATTTATATCCTTGACCAGGACATAGTAATAGAGTAATAATAGGGCTTACAGATTAGATTAGATAATTACTGAATTACAACATATATTGTATCTATACTTTCAGTCCTCAAAAGAACGTCCACAACTCTTACAAATCAAGTGCATCCCGTTGACAGCTTGAACCCCGTTGTCAACTTTCCTATTTGACGGCAAAATCATACTGGGTTTCAAATTGATAACAACCTTTTGCTTGCGATTAGATGGGTTCGTATCGCTTTCGGGCGCTGCTCTTCCATCGTTCTCATTTTCGTCAAGAGCCTCTTCACCGTTTTGCATATTTGTTTGGGAACCACTCTCATACGAGGAAGATTCCAAAATATCGTCAATCTTAGAATCTAAAGAACCTTGCTTAAATCTTAGAGATTCATGGCGTGGACTTAATGGTGCACAATCTAAACTCTGCTGTTTTGACGCATCCTTAAGTTTAATGCGTCTTCGTGGAGACAAACGAATGGCGTGACCATTGAAATCCCCCGTGGTCAACTCTTTTGCAAACTCGACCATACCGTTACTGTTGTCAAAGAGAGCAGCAAAGCTTCCGTTGATGAATTTTGGGGAAAAGGGAACATTGCTGAGTATCAAACTCATTCCGAAGTCTTTTCGGCGAAGACTTCCAATCCTTGGACGACGTCTGCGGACGACTTTAATAGGTTCTTCTTCGGGTATAATTTCTTCGGGTATGACTTCTTCTTCCTCTTCACTTTGTTCATCAGCTAGAACCTTTGAAGCACAATCTTGTATGATCTTCCAATCTCGGGCGATATCGCTGTTCGTGGTATATTGTGAAGTAACAGTAAAACGGATGACATATTTCTCTTTAAGAGCAGCTGGCACCATGTGTATTTTACCAGACCTGTTCAGACGTTTAAGAAGTGTTTCTGTTAAACTGTTGTCCCCCTGGTAAATAAAACATTACACAAATTTAAATATGATTAACCCTTCATTCTTTAAGATAATTCAAGCAAATGACATTTTAAAAACAGCCAGTATCAGAGCATCACAAACTTAATATTGAAAATTGCGAAACATGCGAAACAAAAAGTCCGTGGCTCTGTCGGCTGTACGAACAAAACAGTCCGTAGGCTATATAGATACTCACCTGTAGTCTAAATACGACCATTCCTAGAATTCGTTTAGCAGGAATCTCAAACCTCTTATCTTTTCTGATCATATTCTCAAACATCCCCGCTAATCTTACTCCCTGTAATTAAGAAATTGACTCAATTTGAACGGGCTCTGCTTGCTGACTAGTCAAGACATAGTAATACAATTTGAATTTAGGAATGGTACAACGGTACCTTTGACAAAGGTACATGCAAATGAATTTCATGCAAGAGTTTCTTTTAAAACTGACTGTTTTTGACATTGTTTGAAACTTTGTAAACTCAAATTAATGACTTCAAGAGTCTAAACAAAATGCCAACATGAAAGATTTTGATCTATCGTGATGGTATTATTCTTAATCTACTGCAGATTTCATTTCGTCTTTAAATTTATTTCTTGTTAAAACTATTACCTCCCTTGAACTTTCTATTTCAAAATATCTTAGAAAAGTTACCTCCCTTATTATAATGATAATTTTTTTGTCTCAGACATCATTCGACGTCGACGTCCAATCAAATGGTATAGCCTACCTCTCGAATATGTTTCTGTATACCTTCCACACCAAAAGATCTCAAAACAAACCACATTTTAAGGGCTCGAAATCGTCTGCTCAGTGGAATTTGCCAGTGCTGAAAAAGAAGATATGGCTTATAATTTATGTCTTATCTTTGCGACGATCAAAACTGCAATGAATCCACAGTTGTTTAATTGGGCCCCGAACTTCCTGGACCCTGAGAAATATCTAGCCCTAGATCATCGTGTCCAAAGCACGCCCCCAAGCATCATACTTCCTAGAGACTTGTTAAAACCAGTATTCGGTATACGATGGTCCTAACTATTCCATAAAATGTAAAATTTGACCTACCATGTAATCAATCGCTGCTCCTGAAAAATAAATATTAAGTGATATATAAATTCTGTTTCTTTTTCCAGTAAAATTCTTCTGTCACTTGCGTATAGAGTATTAGAATTTTTGGTTCATCCTGGCTGTATTCAAATGTCGTTTAGTGTAATTAAAAGTATGGATTCGCCATTTTCGGTGGTCGATTGAGTATGTATATAAATAATCTTCAGAACTAACAGAAATGTACGAAAATCGGGTAATTCCTTCAAAAATACCTCAAACGAGGAATTTCACTCTCTATTTCTATATGCCTTTTTGCTATATAAGACAAAGTCTCAAGAAAAGACGACTCGTCTTTTTAACTTTCAATCACGGATAATTCTAATTCATGGACGTGAGGGCAAAGAAGTTCGACGGTTAGCTGTGAACACTATTACTGATTAGTTTAGCTAAAAAATTCCAGTTTCTGAGACTAAGGTACGATAGGTCAAACGGATGACGAATCTGTCCCTTTATATTCAGTGAGTGGTCTCCCTTTCTTGTCAAGTCGTCACGTGGTTGGTAGATCAAATATCGTAGGCAAGACCGAGTTTGATTCAGCTTTACGGAACATGCAGGCATTGTTGAACGCCAGATTTTGAGATAGTTTTATGATTTGATACAGAGGATAAATTGAAATTGTCATTACCTGAATTTTCGTGTTTAAGATATAAAGGATCCACATTAAATGTTCTGTGAAGTGCACCACTGTTTTTCACCCTGTAATAAAAATTAAGAATCTATCTTGATGTCTGCAATAAAAGACGAGACGACCTTTTTTATATTAGCCTTTACGACCAGATCTCTACCTCAGTGACGGTGCCAGGTTGACGTCCGAGGAGGGGGCGAAATATCTGATGTTGCCCGAATTTCTAACTTAGTTATGAGAGTCATGGCATTCGGGGCTGTGAGGGGCGAGACTGTCCCCTCTGCCCACCCCTTTGGCTCCATCGGTGTCTATATGGAAACTTGGATCTTCTAATACAAATTCCCTACTAGACTTTTTATCTGAAAAATGCATCAGCTGTGTGAGGTGAGCTCAATCACACACGTTTATTCATTTCTAGACCGAAACATCTGCCTGCCTCTATTCCAACCTCTGATAGCTATTTTGAAAGTTGTAGGCTGGTGTAGAGACAGCAAAATAACGCATCTTCAGAGGTATGAAAATCTCTATAAAACATGGCCTAGGTTTCTGACTCTACTCCAGTCGAAAACTGTCAAAATATATATCAGAGGCAGGAACAGAGGCTTCGTAATCAACATAAGCCTATTTCTTAGAAAAGCTACCTACCACATGGCAGTGCAGTCAAAATGTACCATCATCCATTTAGAAGGATTGAAAGCAAATGTCTGAGCATGTTCGATGCCAACCATATACTGTCTGTATTCAGGACAGATGAAAGCAGTTCCAGCATAAGCGGCATCAATATGCATCCATAGTCCTTCAGAATCACCTATATAATAACAGAGTGCAATTATCAATAAGAGAGTTCAAATAGTAATTATCAGATAGGTATTGAGGAGTGAGAGCCGACAACGGGCATATTCTCGTAACCACTGGTTCAGGTATCAGAATTTTTCTTACGCTGAGGCGGATTAGACCCACAGCACCTAATCACCTAGCAAACAGCAATTCAACTCGCTACCGAATGAGCTAGTCCACTGGTTTAATGTGACTAGTCAGCATCATGATATCAGTGGAGAATGCCAAACACATTTTAGATATTCTTGTCCATAATTAAACGAAAATGTTGCTATGCTGAAGATTTCACAAAACGTATTAATATAATACTCCTTTGACATTTTACAGATTATACACTGTACTTACAGATATCGCCAAGTTCTTTCAGATTATCAAATGCACATGCCCCAGTTGTTCCTAGAGTAGCACATACCTGGAATATATGGAGAGAACTCTTTGATTTTTGATCTTAAGAACGTCATATTGTTGATGATACTTTATGCATCAATGAGTACAAATTAGAGGCCACGTACTGGTGACGTTTCAAGTTATTTATAGCAGACAGTCACGCACCGAACTCCCGTCAATCGGAATCAGCGCTTTCCCACATTTCATAGTCGATATTTAGACACGGATTCTGCGCGACGCGCTGTGATTGGTTGAGAGAAACGTCAACAGTACACGACCTTGGTATAAATGTTTTTGATTACAATGGAGACCGACGAAAAATAAAAAGGAAACGACATTGAAATCTAATTTGATTATACTAAAGGCTTCTCAGAGGGAATAAAACAGAAGGTGCAAGGGAAAAGTGCACTTGATGCCACTCCCCAACTACAAAATTACAGAAAACTATTCCTTTGCAGAGGGTCAAACCATTCTGTTTAGGAAAGCCAAATAGTAATGTGAACCCAACACGAGAGGCACACGAATGTGCAACGTGTGTTAGTTAGACACGAAAATGGAACATACAAAGAATGGTATGAGACCAGCTTCTCTATCTCTATCGACAGCTTCTTGAAGAGTATGACCACGAAGACTTAAATCATCGTCACTATTTAGTAATCGCAACTTGACTAAACCAATTAATGTTGCCTTTTCCACTGACGAATGAGCCTGAAACAAAGATAGATTATAATGTATCGAAAGGGGGTTTGTTTCTTTCTGCACTCGAGTCTTTCATGTATAGGTTCTGAAGCTGTGAAAAGAAAGTAAGCTTTTGCAGCTGGTGAAAGATTTAACTGACCACTAATTAAGTAATAGAGGCTGATAATATCTCTGCCCTACCCCAATACAGTTTTACATGTACAGTCCGAAATTACGTTGCTTTCATCCCTTAATCTCATATTCTCATAACATTAGAACTGTATTAAGAGACAACTCCGAAAAACAGCCGAAAAAAGGGTTTCTTAATGAAGGTGATCTCTTAGATGACTTCAAGATGACCGACAAAATAGATAAATGACCAACCTGATCTGAGCAATAAGCGACAAGTCTGGCGTTAATTTCGGCATCATCAAGTTGTAAGCTATTCTTATGTCGTCTGATTGCTTCTGATCTGGCGGCTAGTAGAGAGACAAAAGTGGCATTACTGGCTGTCGTCTGCAAGATAAATAGATGGTCAAATTATGGAGTGAATATCACAAATATTAATACAGGTCTATAGAACCAGACAAATTGATATTCCTTATTGATGGTTTTATTATTAAAATATATTGGAAATATGAAATGAGAGGTGGTATATATAGATCATTCCATTCCTTCGTAAGATACTTGAAGAGTCACAGAGGAATGAAATGGTTAGGCAACACACAACGTGGTATTTAGAGTATGGGGACCCAAATTGATGGATGATTTTGGAATCAAGAATGCATAGTCCATATCAAATGATGAATAATCCCAGGAAAAAGCCCTATACCTTTAGGAACGATGTACGACGTCATCATCAGAATTTATAAACGTTTTACAAACTGCAGAGGACCGCTAGCCTTACGGTGTGTACTAGATATACCACATTTAACCTTTTGAACCCCCCGAAATGGAAGGTCATGTCGACAAACCCAGTCGACGTGTACACGTTAAAATTGGATCCTTATTCGTTCGTAATTCCAACATTCAGACCACCAATGACAACCATAACACTGACCTGTAAAACACCTCCTCTCATTGTTTGTTCATTACTATATGTAAAAATACTGACCTGTAAAACACCTCCTCCCATTGTTTGTTCATTACTATGTAAAAATACTGACCTGTAAAACACCTCCTCCCATTGTTTGTTCATTACTATGTAAAAATACTGACGGTAATCCAATCATTTTACCTAACCAATCCATAACTATTGTCTCTAACTCAGTACACGCTGGACTACTAGCCTATAATAAAATACCAAATACTATTTATTTTGTGGACTCTCAAAAGTTTGCCAGACGACAAACCCAGTTTTTTAGTGGTATAGGGTGTTTCAAAAGGTTGAAAAAAATCTCACAACTTAAGTTTTGCTTCCATTTTTAGATATTCTACATGTATTTCTTCAAATGAAACGTATCCTTGCAATGATATCATTTCCCTTACTTCGTCCTAAACAGATCTTGAATAATAATAAGTGCTTCCCCATATTTCTGGAAAGGTATAGCCGGAGCTGACTCTACTTTCGACCTTATGTTAATATTGACTGTGGTCAATTCCGTAACAGCCAAACGTCTATCAGAGACTAGGTAATGAAGTGATTGAGTGATATTCCATCTGATCAGGCAAATGAAGTGCAGAATTAATGTAATAAAACATCCTTACCCAGGTGAAGCCCAAGCAGCCTATCCCGTTTGCCAACATATCGCCTAATAATGAAGGGAATGAGTTGAGTGCAGGAAAATAGGCATGCATATGAGGACTCTGCCAATGGGTAATCTGAAAGGCAATAAAGCTTGACATTAGATGATTAGACAACAGCTCTTGATATTCCTTCTGTATGCCATCGTATATTGTCTGTGGATTACATTATTCACTCTAGATCTGACAGTATCTCTCTTGAAATAATGTTTGAACCGTTAAGGCAAGGCTACTCAGAATTTCACGCGATCTTCAGACAACTGATCTATTTTCAGTAAGAGACCCTTTTAAAGTTGGATGTCAAGACAATACATTAAAAAAATATTGAGCAAATATTTGCAAATTTAAATCCATATTTGTACAAATATCTCAAAATGTGTGGCATAATATTGGATGTTCAATGCTTACGTGCTAACTAGTACTAGTAGAACTTGGTCATTCCCTAATTTCTAAGCTTTCAATTTAAGATTTGAACTGATGACCTATTGTAGCCATGTAACTGCTAGCTAGTAGCAGTAGGACGTGACAATTTCGCGGGTGTCTATAACACTTACCCCTGGCATTATAACTCGTTCGATATCTTGGAATATATCATCCCACTGTTCACCATCTGTTGGTGCCGAATCTGGTAAAAGATCTCTCATATAGCCTGGCTTAACGTCTGGAAATACTCGTCTACTTCTTATATTTTCTAAATAGTCCGCAATATAGTCCACCATTTCTTTACCTGCAAATACAAATTGGTAAGTATGAGATCAGGGTGATTAAATGTTTGAGGGTGCGCTATCAGGTAATGCAATAAATAGCGAGATGGACGTTCTATCTCTAATTCTGAAACAGAATGCTGCTAAATATGGCTCCCTTATGCAAATCATTTGGGCAAGAATGGAGTTGAATACAACGAATCCACGAATGCACTCATTCTAACGAATGCACTTCTGGGAATACAAATTGAATTTTTATACTGATGTAATTCGGATTATTCCGCATCTTGTTTGGATTTAAAACCGAGTATTCAATCACAGGAATTTGATTTCCATTCGACATGAAAATTTTATGATCATCGAGGGAGGTATCTTAACCTTAGATGGCATATTTATTAATAAGCAATTTTGACGATAATATGACTTTAAGTCGACAATAAGATTGACTCTAAGAAAGTGTCTGATTTATCGCCTTATGTTCTTCTATTTATTAGATACAAATCAATAAAACTAATCCACATTATACAATCTGATGATTTGTTCAGAAGAAAGATTCCCAAAATAGAGCCAGTATATCGTTTATGGTGAAGTACATCTAAACCAAATGGAATGGTTCCAAGAACGGTTTCCATTCGGTATAACGAATTCGGTTGCAGTGATTAACCTAAATAGCTCAAATTGACCTGAATTTATGATTATGCTTTAAAGGGGCAGCTGTGTCATTTTTTTCGCCAATCATACTTTAGTCTCAGAAAGGATTTTTTTTTTAGCTAAGCCAATCAGAAATAGTGTACACAGCTCACCGTCAAAATTTGAGCGTTCAAATACACGAGTTCCAGAATTATCCACCTTTGAATGTTAAAATGTCGACTCGTCAATTTAAGATACTCTGTGATATAGAGAAGAACATATATAGAAATAGTGAGTAAAATTCCTAGGAAGAAGTATTTTTAGTACTTCTGAAGACTATTTTCATACAGTCAAGACTAAAACCAACCCCAACCCCAATAATGGTGGACCTATCCCTTTAATACCTTCGCCCTTTTCATCTTAATTCAAAGTATTGAGGTTAGAATGAGCTGGATTTCTCCGGTCAGAAGCTTTCAATATCTCATACGCTCAAGAAATAATCGTAATTCTAGGTAAAAGTTGATTTTCCTCTTCACAACAAGTGATCTCTCACCAATCACTTCCACATACGATTGCTTGTTTGCTTTCTTTGAAGTAGTCAATGAAATGAAATTTGTCATTTAAGAGAATTAAATAATGTGCTGAAGTGATCTATTGTGCTACTTGAACAAGTCGAAAAGTGTAATGAAATGCAATGAAAACCATCTAAGCATGGGTTAATCAATGAGGTTTACACAGTCGTTATGTACCGTCTACTTTTAAATTGAGATCGAACTCTTATGCCCCTGAGCTACACAATCTTATCGATTGGAATTGGTAGGCGAAAAAAGCCAAGTAACAACACCACAGATTTGTTTAAGATCGTCCAAAAGAGACCGCCCGGAAATTAATGAAAATCATTACGGCTTAGAGCCAAATACATACGACACAAATGAATTTTTGTTCAACGACAAGTTTTGTTTCTTAAATAACTTCAATAAAAACTTCAAAGAAATAAATAAAGAAGTGTCAGACCGATATATTGAATCGTAATACAGCACCATATTATAAAATCGTCAGAAAATAAGGACAAGATCAAAAACCTTGAAGGTAACTTTGCAGGAATTACAAATAATATTCCTATCGTTCTATTTCTGGAAGCCCAAAGGGCATTATAAATCATAATTTAGAATGCACATGAAGTTAAAAAAAAGCATGAAAACGACATAACGAGAGAACGAAAACAAGATATTTACGTTTTGAATATGTCATTTTTCCGTTTATGGGATTTCAGAAACTTGAGACCTTGTTCGGGCAACTGTATGATATACAAAGATGAGGTAGTGACGCCAATATGCTTATAATTAACCAAAATTAAAAATTATCACTACGATCGGCGAATCAAATGGAATGTTTTTCTTGAGAATTTTCTCTAAATCTTGTAATATTCGGCATCGAGGAATTAGGAAATAAGTCTTCAAGTAGCTGGATCCATAGTGTATTGTTTTACATTATGATTATTTTATAATTATTTCAGACGTCAGTGGCTAGCTCTATTAGGAGTCAACAAAAGAAACATTTCGAAAAGCTACCAAATTTTTATAAATTTCAAATCAAAGTTTAATGAAAATATTAACGTTTTATATACGTTTTACTTCAAGGGAAGTAATTCTCTGCAATTTGTTTCTGACCACTGAGGATACTTACGAAAATGTTTTAGGTCCAATTTTAGTCACCACAAGTTAACAGTATCAAATCGGTAAAAAAGTATGAACATGACTGCCCATAATAAGTCTTCGGAGTACTGTAATTCGAAGCATTGCACGCAGGTACATTAAGTACCTCTCAATTTAAGAGAATAACCCAAGGACCCTTGACTCGGAAACGACCCACTACGTTTGCTAGTCCTAAACTCTTCTTCTCCAACACATTCACTCTTTAAAAATGTTTTCTCGCTGTGCCTTCTATGCTATTACACCTTCTCTAATTACCCTGTGACTACTTCCATTCTCTTCTACTTCCACCCTCTATACTTTGCCCTAACTTCTACTTCCTGTCTCATCTTCCACCTTCTAATTCCACCCCCTCTACTTTACCCTGTCTATACTTATGTCTTATATATCCACTCTCTATACTTGGCCCTCTCTTCTACTTCCACCCTCACTTCTATTTCCTATCTCTACTTCTACCCTCTCAACTCGCTTGCTAGAATTCCCATGCTGAAGGCCCCATTTGCTACAGGCTATTTACGTTAAACTATTTACGTTAAAGATCCCTGGACAGTTGGAGAGCAAGCTAATAACGCTGTCCTGGCAAAAATTGCAACATGCATGGCGTTGTCGACTTCATTAGCCCACATGCATGCAGAAAAGTAGGACGTAAAACTCCATTCATTTCAAAAAATGAAATTTAGTTTGACTTATTGCCAGAGGAGGTAGCCGCCTTCCCTTGGCAGCCCTAGTTTTTCGGGCAATAATCTCATAACTAGGTTAGAAATTCGGGCAATCGCAGATATTTTGCACCCCCCCCCCCCCTCGGATGTAACCTCTCTCCGCCATTGCTTATTGCTATAATATAATTTTTCGATCTAAATTGAACCCTGAATCTACGTGTTCCTGATACTTATAAAGTAGAAAACCTCTTTCCCTAGCCAATATAAAATAGCCTACTTAGTTGTTATTTTTCATGCTACGACCTATCTATATTTCTATTGTAGTCACTGCAAAATCTCTGAAAAAAAACTTCTGTATAGGCTATCAACAATCTTAAATAGGCTACTAAAAGTGTAGGTGTGGAGGTCCAAGTTCAAGGTAGAAACATCGATTTTTTATACGAACTGGCAAAATGTATAAAAAGATCTATGATTAAATTTATATATTGATGGACGGGTGATATTAGATTAAAAACTTCCAACTCGCAAAAGAATCCCACAAACTTAATGAATTTCTCTTGACGACCTTCGACCCATCAGGTCAAATTTCCCGCGCGTTGATAAAACCCAATTACGGCATGTCGTTATCAGAAGTGTCGTAAATTGGTTTGTAAGATCTCTGTCAATACTCCGATATCTTTTCAACTTTCATTGCCGACGTTCTTTAGACATCTGTGGGAAGATTTCACGAGCAAATTAAACAAAATGACTGTGTAGTTTATTAAGGCTGGCGATAGACCGACTCTATAGATAAGCATCATTCGCCTTTCAATTAAGACGACTTACATTTCCATAGAAGCAAGCCGATTAGAGCAATTGAAGTGACAGGCCAAATCAGATTGTGAAAGCAGCGAACGATTAACCGTAATTGTTTGCCATTTAAGAATGATCTTAAAGGAAGGGTGATTTTCTTTTTGTCGCTCTTTAACTGGCAGTTGTTTGTCAACAAGAATTGATTGCTCTGACTTGACGAGTACTTTAGTAGGTACCAATCGATTTGTTAAATCTTTTGTTAGAGAAATATCAATAATCAAATAACTGAATGAGTCCAATTCTATCTTAAGGAATTTTTAATTGTAATTTCAACAGATTTCAGAACGTAATTGATTAATTGAGATGCTAAAAAAATGATTCAATTAATATCCTAATCAGCGGGAGAAAACGTCGTGTATGAAACACTCGTTAGGAAAACCATTCATTTATAAAGAAAACAAACGTTATATTCTTACTTAAAAATATTTAAGTTAAACGTGGAAAATGAAACATGAACCATGTAGGCTACTGACTGAAAACATAACTTGTGAAAACCATTCATATACCATAGAGACAAACGACATACGTGTATACCAACCGACCAAGTGGCGACATAATCGTACAAACCTTTTATTAAAAACGGAAAAACGACATATACCGACCATAAAAAGAATTCATGATAGAGACAACCGACATACGTGTATACCAACCGAAGACATATTCGTACAAAGCTTTTATCAAAAACGGAAAACGACATATACCGATCATAAAACCATTCATATACAAAAAAAAAAAAAAAACTCAACAAATCATTCGAAAATTACATGGAAAAAAGGTGACATATTGGTACAAACCTCCGATATAAAAAACGACGTTCATACCGATCATAAAACTATTCATATGCAAAAGAGAAAAGCGACATATACCGATACTTAAAAGCGACCATATAATGAAGTGGAAACGTACATATTTATATCTATTCCAAGACTATTAATTATATATGGTCAACTGTCATATAGGAATGTTCATTCAAACTTATTATATGAATACATCTATGAGGAACACGGTGGCTCAACTACCACGTGGACTGGTTGAACCAAGTCCATCGGCCCGATCCTTGGCGGCCTCCACCACTTCAATATTTTCCGGAGGACGCATCCCAACTTAACCAGTTGAACCACGGAAAACACGTGTTTTGGTTGTGAATGGAATTTTAAAAATTTGCAATTTAAAACATTTCTTCATA